TTTTATCGGGACGTTTTATTTATCGTCGGACAGCTGTCGTTCTAGCTCTTTCCATTATTACGACAGTCTGTCGTCATAACGTCCAAAATGTCGTGAACGACAGTTAATCGTGTTTTACTATATGTGAACATCTTCATTTAAATATACAATTCACGACACTTTAAACTGCACGACTGTCTGTCGTCACGACATAATGGGGGACCGTACCCTTAGATCAACCAAAAAATGTTATTTACAAAGAGCAACCCCTAGAGTTTCTTGCTCATTCTTCTCAGGGGAATCTGCCTTATGAATGAGCGGTAGAGTTTAACCATTGTGACGATTTCAAGTGTAATAATGCTTACCTATGAAATAAAGATTATTTTGAATTTTGAATTTTCAACCAGATCCGTGGTATTCACTTGTTTAGCTCTTGCAGGTAGACTCGATCTATGTTTGACATAAATATTATAAATTATAAATGTGTACAAATGTATATTTACATAGAGCAACCCCTAGACCAGGATTTTCTAAATCTGTGGTCCATGGACCCCTAACGCTCAATTTATATTGCGGCAGCCAAAATCTTCCGCGGAATGCGCTAGCATTCTGGAGCATGTCCGAGAATTCCGCGGAAGATTTTGTTTCGTATTTAGATAGTACGTTAACAAATGACCATAAAGTTCATTATGCTATGTACAATATAATTACAAAAATTCGCTTCCACTCCGTTCCGCCGCAGTATAAATGGAGCCTAAGGGGTCCGTGTAATGAGCGCTGGGGGTCTATGGCGGGTCTACTTAACATAAAAAATGCATTATATAAAAATACGCGCGTGAATTTTAGGTATTGAATTTTAGCACCCGTGAGACGAGAGAGCGAGACGCGCGTCGATGCAACCCGCGAGCCTTTTCGGAAAGGCTGGTGAGATTTGAAATTTTCAGGGTTAAGAAACCCTGCCCTAGAGTTTCTTGCTCATTCTTCTCAAGGAAACTTGCCTTACGAAAGAACAGTACAGTTTAAATCAATATGACGATTTCAAATGTAATTTGCTTACTAAACTGGAATAAAACTATTTGAGTTTTGTCAAAATTGTAACATGAATAATAATCGCAGTGCAGAGTTACAAAAAACCGACCTCAAAAGTCATTCATCCCCTAGTTTGCCACCCTTAGAGGTGCAACATTTTCTTCAAATTTAAATAAGACCACTTCTGAGGTACCCTCTTTCCAACAAAAAAAGAACCTTCAAATTCGGTTCACAAATGCTGGTGTTATCGTGTAACATACATACAAAAAAAAACATATTCGAATTTAGAACCTCCTCCTTTTTTTGAAGTCTGTTAAAAGTTATTACACAATATACGACATGTATATTATAAAATATTTATTTTTATGTGGTGTTAAAAGGAAAAATACATTAAAATAATGTTTAGTACTCTGTAGACGGACGTTTATGTTTATTTATAGTGATTCACCACGTCACACCATGACCTAGGACCGGCGTTCATTGCCAGTTGAATACGAATAGTTTTCTAAGTTGAACTCAGGTGCAACGTAATTGTTACTTAACATTTAAGTACTAGTTATAAATGTAAGTTTCTTGTTTACATTGACGCAGTGGCGTTACCCTAGGATAACATAACTAAAACTATAATGACAAGGAGCTCTGATAAGACTGGGTTGATGAAGATTTACAATACACTTTTTTTATACAACGCAATTGTAGCGTATATAGCGTACAGAGAATTTCCTACGACTTCTGCAAAGGCAAAGCCTATCTCGCAGGTAATCGACGTTTGGATGCGCATGCGTGTGCATGCATGTATGAAGGAATTTTGTTGTACGAGTAGATATACGGATGCATGAATTTTGACAATATTTCAGCGAAGGTGGTGTTTATAGCTAGTAGATGCAGTTTAAAAAGCCTTTCTTCAAGTAATTCACAATAACGCAATCTACAAGTCATAGAGTATTATAATTACCTAGCAGTGGCGAGACGTCTTACCTTGAATCCCATCGGCTTGCCTAAATACTACATTTTGTGTAGGGAGTATAAAGAAAACATATCAAAATTATTTATATCAGTTACTAGAGTCTCATTTCTATATCTACCGAGAAGACATTAGGGGATAGCAAATGGTTTTTATTATACTATGGCAGACTTCCTGAGTGTGCGATCAATGGGTTACCTGAGGCTCATCGTGCGACCGGTTAGATACATGTTAACAGTAAAGGGTTTCTCAGGTTCTTTCACCTATTTTATTCTTGCTTTACATAGACGATTAGCAACCCTCAGTATCTATAGTAGTGTTTTCATCCCTGGATACTTCGTAGAAGTAGGCTCCTTGTTAAAGAGTGGGAAGTACTGCCACTTTACCCATTTCTGCCGCCAAGCAGTAATGTGAGCATTGCTGCCTTCCGATTTTGGAGTGTAAGGTTGCTGGTGAAATTACAATCACATGAAACTTGTCAAATTATGTCTCAGAGTGGCGGGCGCAGTGGCAGTGCCCCTCAGCACTTTATGATGAAAAAGCTCTGAGTGGCACTGCAACTGTTATGGACAGAGCTGTCGTTCGTCGGTGTCGGTCGTGCATTACCACCGGGTGCACGACTTGTTCGTCTTGTCATTTGATACTATAAAAAAAGTTCCTGTGCCCAAGACCAATTACTTTCGGAAGCGATTACGTTTGATACTAAACTGCCTCCGTGGCCGCACGGTTACCATGCCGGACTGCCACGCAGAGGTCCTAGGTTCGATTCCCGGGCCGGGAGAAATGTTTGTATGGCTTACATTTATTTCTCTCGTGAGTTTGGGTGTAATTTGTGGTTGTCTATGTGTGTGTCCATGGCACCCGCGACACAGGGTTTCCCTAGTGCGGGGCTATGTTGAGTGTGTGCGTTATTTATTTTTTTTATATTTTTTTTTATACTAAAACATGAAAGCGGTATGGCTCAACTAACATTGGTCGCAGGTCTATTGGGTGCATAGACCAAATTTACTGCATTCTAACAAAGCAGATTTGGGGTCATCATGTTTCGTGTCCTACATGACGATATTCTCGCTTGTTTTCGAAATGAGGTGTTTTACTTGGTTATTGCCAAATAAGGGAGCGTACGTCTTGCAACAGACTACAAAATTTTTTCGAGCTATTTTCACTTTAATGTAGAACGAAAATACTATAAGAAAGTCTCAAGGTTTCGACTTGTTTCAATTAATTACTCTTACATACATTCTTATTCATACAATATTCATTCACTTCATTAATTATGTATGTTTAAATTTGATACAAATAATTAAAAATGTACATATATTTTGAGGTCTTTTCTCTTAGAGTCGGTGACAAAAAATGTACGTTACACCATCTATCAAATACATAACGAACCTTACAATTCACTATATATGTATGATTAAGTAACATGCTGCGACCTCTAGTATTTATCATTTGAACTAAGTATGTACGTTTGTAATTATTTATCGACGTAGTTTTAATAAGTATTCATAGAGAGCGACACCGTCGCGAAATTTTATTTCAAATTGATTGATGTAGAGAAAGATTTAAAGTCGGATAATAAGTACATAATATTTATAGATGTGACAAAGTAAATGTAATTATTTGTTGTTTACCACAGATGACGTCAATAAGTGTTTACTGGATAAGGACAAATGTCGTGTAACAATTGTTTTAGAGAAATTCAAGTTTAAGAAAGTATTTTCTTAATTTCTAATAAACAATGAGTCAGACTCAAATAAGAGACTTTTTTGAAAGAAATTTTGGAAAACGGAATGACAAAACAAAAGTGAAAAATACAAAAAGTATGAGGTCTGAAGTCATACAGATTGATGATACATAGTTTATATAATTATGTATTTATATCATGTATTACCAATTTACGGTAAATCATTCTTTTTCAATTATAGTTGGAGAAAAACTGAAACAAATGAATTGTCAAGTCAGAAACATGACACAGACTTGTTAATGTACGAAAGGAATTCAAGGAAACGTATTGTGTGTTTTATTGTTGTTATTTATCGCGACAAGTTTATTGAACTTCGAAATGTAAAAGATAAAAAAAAGAATTGCTAAACAAAAGAAAAAATTAACATAACTTATTTAACTACAATAGATCATTCACTGCCCCTTACGTATATATAATGATAGGTTTTTTAGACTTTCGCAGCAAATTAGCAAAAACAATGGCGATAAACGGTAATGTTGGACGTAACGTAAATTAATAGCTGGTCGTAGATAACTGGTTAACGTCGTCGGAAAACTAGTAAAATAATAATATTGTCGTTAGCATAAATATGTAATTCGGTCATCTCACAATTAAATCTGCAAGATGCTTGCATTTATTGTAGAGTCCAATACTCTATACAGTCAACCTTGTAAAAACTTCAAATCTTGATGCAGGTAAATCAATATGTCCTGTAGTGTGCTTAATCAGTATGTGTATCGTTGTTTAGCAACAACTGAATGAATTCAAACAAAGGTCGCTCCACTGAACTATTACAAGATTTATTTTCTCAGAGCTGTAGAATCAACATTATTACTTCGAAGCTACAAAAACTATAACAAGTCATTATATTTCCTGGAATTTTTATAATCAACAGACGACTGCAGCGTAAAAGGTCTTTTAAATTATGTTATTCGCAAGTTGTGTACACATTCTATATGAGATGTTTTTTTTTTCAGAATATCTACTAGATTATTATTAGTATTGATAATTTATTGCACGAGGTGAACATAACAATGTCTAAGTATTTACCTATTCCATTGATTGTATCTACAGATTAGTTCATTATTTGAACAGTTATTGAGTGAAGAGTAAATAGAGACATTATATGTAAGGAAGTTAGAAACGTCATAAATTGAGTAGATATCACCAAAGCAGCGTCTTTGTTTTACACTAGTATCACGATAAAGCGTATTGTTCATTTTACATACACACACATCCATCGCTCATTTACAAATTGCAAACAAATGCGGTGCAATTATTCACCGGGTCGAACTCGCCTCCGAACAAAGGCGTTGATAGTCCAGTTTACATCGTCAAGCAGCGCGCGCGCATTTGCTCCCGCGACACCGTTAACGCGCCATATTCGAATTTCGAATCGGAGTTCGATAAAAAGAATTCAAAATGATGCTCGCGGGAGCACAAATTGTTGACGAGAGTAGTGTAGCACATAGACCTGAAAATGATAAAATTTATCCGCTCAATTCAAGACCTCAACCCGGGACAAGTCCAGAACCATCTTCCAGATATCCTACGCCTTCTGAAGATGAAAGCCTGGCCCGACGTCCTACCAAGGAGCCGGTTGATATCCAGTTCTCTAACATCACATGCACAGTAAAACTTGGAATTAACAAAGGTAAGTACCTTTTAATACCTTAATGACTTGAATTCTCCTTTAGAACACAGGATAAACTTAAAATTATTCTTCATTGATAATTTGTTTTCTCTAAATAAATTAACAATAGATGATAAAGTTAAAAGCTAGATACGTAAAATGTAGATACTTAATAATTTGGTACTTATTTAAAAAGCGAATGATTTTTTCTAAATTCCTAGTTAAAGAAGTGTGCTATGTCTAATAAACATGCGAAATAAAAACGTCTTTTTGTATGTAAGTGTGTATAAAGTCGGTGGTAATCTCTAATAAAAACGTTTATACAATTTGCATATAATATTGAGAAGAAATATAAATTATTGACATGTTCAATAAGTGTATAATGTTTGGACAGAATTATTTCGGAAGTTTTGGAGGTCATTTATATTATCGCTAGAGATATTATAATATATTGTAGTCTTTTTATATAATGGAAGATTATGACAGATGACGCATAATGCCACTTCGCACAAAATAAATTACAGTTTTCTTTGGTCAGAGTTTTAATTTAATTTTATAGTGGTACGTGAAAATTTCTACCAACATTGGGAACCACCGTCATATAACCTAGTTATGATTTACGGTATAAGATACTTATTTCTCAAAATTATACTAATACACTTAGCGAGAAATACAAGGTATCATGAAATTTGTATATAGATAAAATTTCGTGTTCTAAATTCATAAGAAAAAACAAAACCTAGGCCCTAAACAAGTATTGTACATATCGAGTCCTTGAATTTTCGCGATTGTTTCACATAGGAAATGAAACTATTTTCCGGATTTAAATACCGTATATTTGTTTTTGAAACAAACCAACGTTTCGGGCCCTTTACAAGGTCCCAAGGAATCTGTAAAAGAAAATAAGGTAATATTTTTTTCTCACCTCTAGGCGTAACGTACTCGCCCAATGTTGCCCAAGGTGCACCAGATGTACAGGAAAGTATTGGTACTTTCGTGCTTAATATAATTATAGTAGACAAATGCAGAACAATAAATACAGTATATATAATAAAATTATAGTAATAATATAGTAAATTGAATATTTTTCTTTTCTTCCGTGGTAACCAACTTATCTTTACTCTATCTTACATCCTTACATTCATAATTTAGAGAAGGCCCACACGTACGCAGAGTTGTATATAATATTTTATAAACCAATGTAACACAAATCATACACACAAACAGACACACACAAATGTAAATATTATTAAGAAACTAACTTATTGTGAATACTTCCCTAAACACGATACCTACCTACTTGTAATTAAATTTCCGATTTTGCAATTATAAATTGACTGTGACCCAACTAAAAAATAGTCATAACAAGCTTTATCTTTTATTATACACAAAAACATCAATATTTTTGAAGATTTACTACGTGATTTTGTCTACTGGCATAGATGTGAAAGTAAATAATTAGCTTTTAGAATACATGCCTTTATTCATAGGTTCCCAAAGTGATCCCTACCCAGTGGGCGCTGAAGAGTCTTATGGAGATGGCCTCGGAAGCAATCGGAAGCGTTGATGCTGTCCAGGTGTTGCTACCGAATTTGACAAAAAAAAAGTGAATTATCTATATAAACTACACTACAAATTATAATTTTTGTTCCTTGTGATTTTTAGTGTTAACTTAATATAAGAAGTAGGTACGTGTTTTTAATTATTTTTTGTGATGGCTGGGTTGACATTTTTTTTATCTTGCCAAAGTGTGTGGTGAGCCAAAAAAAAGAAATTATCTCCCAATCACATACAATTTTAAAACGTATGTCCAACTTGGCACATAGCGGCAGATAGGTGCCCAAACTAGGTAGACCTTGTGTGTTGACACACCAGACATCCGACTCAAAAAATACTAATTAACTGTAGTTCATTATACAATTACTAAAAAATTTAATTAAATGTGGTGGATCTTAATTTGGCACAAAGTTAGATAAAGTTACAAAATAAAAAGGAGTGCGTGTGCATGCGTGCTTATGTGTGTATGTGGTATGTGTGTGGCTGTATGTATTTATCTATATATTGTTATTTTCATTGCGGTGGTACCTACATAGTACTTGCTAACACATCAATTTCATCATATCTAGTCAAATTACGCTTAGCAACTTAGTTTCAAAGAAGGTTTTACTTGACGTAGTTCCAGGTAAGTAAGTGAATCTAACCATACTATAAATAGATAAAAACATGGGAAGTGCAATGAAACTGTTCATGTGGAGTCGTGAACGGGAAGACGAGATATTCTTAGAAACAGAATATTTGTATTCCATTTTTTAAAACAGTTCACTATTCAAGATTTAAGAGATGAAGTAACGAAAGATAGATTAAATTAATTAGCTTTCTTGAACTATTAAGAACCTAAAGAAACGGTCCGTTGTAGCATTCTGTATTTGTTTTTTTAAAATTAGATTTGTCATCAATGTAGTTCACGGATCTTCATAACGATTGTGATCTATAAAGTCATAGACGTAAACTCAATGCCAAATTTCTGCAGCGGTGAATTGGTCGTTTGGAGTGTTGTTTATTCTAAGTAAATAATCGTCTTCACAACACATCGTTACCTCTTGGTAACGTTAGTTTTTGACACCTATCGTTATAGGTTCTAAATATCACTGGTGTTATTGGTAATCATTCGTTCATTCCATTAGTCGTACACCTTCAGTTGCAAATTTATGAATTATCATCTAGAAAAAATGGAAGTAAATTAATTTGGTACTCCGCGTACCCAGTGGAGGTTAAATCATGCAAAATAGCTACCATTGTTTTGAATATTTTTTTCATTGCAAGGGTGCTGGTGAAATTACAGGCACATGGGCCTCTACAACTTATGTCTTAGGGTGACGGGCGCAGTGGCAATACCCCTAAGATCTTTGCGATTTAAAGCTGGTGCTGAATGGAATTGCTAGTGTTATGAATAGGCGCCCGTCAGTTGGTATTATAAAAAAAAGTAAATGGTGGTAAGCGACACGTCTTTCCATAACAGGTGTAGTGCCTCTCAGAACCTTAAATTACAAAGATATGAGGGGGCATTGCCACTGCGCCCGTCACCATGAGACATAAGTTGACAAGTCCCATGTGTCTGTAATTTCACTAGCACCCCTACCCTTCCAAACCGGAACGCAGCAATGCTCTCATTGTTGCTTGGCGGCAGAAATGGGTGAGAAAAGCATACCAACATTTCGGGTTTTTTACAGGTCTCATCGTCACGGTTTACTCAAACAAAGCGCTCAAAAATAAATGCAGACTATTTAAATCCAAAAAAATATTTCATATAAATATATAAAATATATCAATATTTATAAAAAAATTACAAAAACAGCGTTTAATTGTCGCACATACGTTAAGTTATTATAACCATTTAAGTCGTATTTAATTACCTCCCACAGCCTTGTAGAAAGGTCGTGCTTACTCACATACTTTATTGCTATATCGTTTAGTATATTGCCCACAGATAACTGCATAATAAAACACGATACAGAATAGAAACGTGTTCACAGATGATATTAGAAATAACGGATGTGTAATTAAACTTTATTTTCGTTGACGTTATTGGAAAAATGGTACACATATAAACCTCGAGGTGGTGCACATCCACTAAAACCCCGGCTTACCTTCTTGGCCAGGTGTTGTGATTCATCACGTGTTAGTTACTTACCTTGGTAGTTGCAAAAAATCGGTTCTTTCCGAAGGTCGCTTAAAAGCAGCTCTCTCTTACTTTTTCTCTCTAATAATATAAAGTACATTTATCTATTTTTAAAGATAGCTAAAGATAAAACTTTAATTTGAAAGCAACAGATTGAAAATTAAACAGCAGCTACCTTGCTCAACGTATTAGCATAGCTATACAAAGAGGGAACGCTGCCAGCATCAGCTTGGGCACCTTGCCGCGGGGATCCAATTTTATTCACATTATTTAATGGTAGTTTTAATTTGTAACAAATTAAACAATAAAATGTGTATATCCACTTCTAAGGTTTTCGCGATTACGAATGAAACCATTTTTTCGGATGTAAAATGGCGTAGTGTTTTTTTTTAATAAAACCCGTAAATACGGAAACGTTGAATCGAAGAAACCTGTGGGACTTGCCCCATGGTCATGACTAATTTATTTGGGCACTTTGCTTAGATAAAAAAAGGAAATATACGCGATTTTCGGTCCAAAAAAGATTATCTTTTTTAAAAAATAAGTACCTATTTTTGTTACTCTCTATACTAATGGTTCCAAAGTGGTCCGCTGGTGTCAAAATTTGATCCGCGAACAATTTAAAATTTCGCGGGCGATGCATCGTAGCAGTAGGGCAAACGTAATAGACAACCTTAGAAATCATCTACAAATGTTGACAAATTCAATCGTTACTTCCCAGAATATTTCGAAATTGATCAAAAACTGATTTGAAATCCTTACAGCACGGATGCTTGTGATTTTACAGAAGAAATCCAGGAAGAACTGATTGAATTTCAAAATAATAGAAACTGTAAAGACGCATTTGAATTCACTTGAGAAGTTTTGGTGTCAAAAAGCAATTTCTTACACCAAAATTCGAGAAATCGCCTTGAGTTATCTTACGGTTTTCTCAACAACTTCTTTATGCGAACAAGGGTTTTCTGTTTTGTTGGTAATCATAAACACAGACAGAAATCGATTGAAAATAAGTGATGATGTCCGTGTAGCTTTGTCTCGTAATAGTAGTCCTAGGATTGCTCAACTTGTGCAGAAGATGCACGCTCAAAAATCACATTGATTCGTAATTTACCTTTTTACTAAAAATGTTCTATTTTCTATTAAAATAACATCGTTAACGCATGATACTACTGACTTTTTGATTAAAGTTTATTTTCGGATTGATCTACTTTTTTTCTCTTGTACATCGTGGTTCCTGCTAACAAAAAAGAAATCAAAGTGGTCCTTGGTCAATAAAAGTTTGGGAACCACTGCTCTATACGTTTGGACGATGTGGTATCGATTGAAGTTGCTACAAATACGC